CCTGCCTTTTTGGTAGTGTAAGTCTGGTCTCCCTCCCTCCCAGCTCCACAGGTGGAAAGGATCTCGCAGATCAGGAAGTCTCTGTGCTGGAGCACTGGTCAGTCTCTCTTTATGCTCTGTAAAGGATTCTTGTGCTTCCTCACTCCATTCAAGGACACCAGGTCCAGGTTGCCCCTCCAATGATCAGATGATACAGTGGCTGGGTTTGCTCTGCATAATCTGGTATAAACTGTCGACAGTGGTTTAACAATCCAAGAGTGCTTCTCAAGCCTCATACATTAAAGGGCTCTGCCATTTACAAAAATCCCTTCTTATGATCTGCTGTTGTTCTGCATCCTCTGCTGAAATAATCTGTCCTAATAAATTACTTCTATGTATCCCACTTGTCCTTTAGCTGGATTAGCTAATCATTTCCAGATCTATGGTGTTGTGAAACTAGTAGTCCATGCTTTAGCAAGTTATTTTCAATCAGGGATGGCTAAAAGCAAGTCATCTACTGTACATTGCAGCAAAACAGATTGGTTCATGGCAGGGTGAGCATTTGTTAATTCTTAAACAATTCTCCAGTGCTCTGTGAAATAATGTTGGAGAGTTGTAAAAACCTTTTAGTATGTGAGTCCAAGTGTACTGTCTCCCCCTGAATGTAAATGCAGACTTATTTTGTGATTCCCCTCCTAGTGGCAGAGACCAGAAGCCATTAGATATGTCCAGTGCAGTATAAATTGTCATATCTCCTCCAATATCTGAAAATTGTTACAGAAGTAGCTACAATGGAGTGAAGTTTAGGCATGTTCATGCAGGTGTAATCAATAATAAAACACCACAATCCATCAGCCTCTCTTACCGGCCACACCAGAGAATTGGTGTGATATAGTTAATCTGACTATGCCCTCCTGTGCTAAATCGTTTACTATTTTCTCCACAGCATCTTGTACTTCAGTTGAAATATGATACTGCTTGTGAGAGGGTGAGATGATCTTTGAATAACTAAAGGTGTTATGGCCCTAACATCAGGATATTGGTAACATGTAAATCCCTACACCCGCTCTGTTTACCAATTTTACCAATGACGGTCTCCTCAGAGGTAACCTTAAAACTAAATAAATATGCCTTATCTTGTTGAGAATCCCACTGCTGACACCAGCTTGAAAGCAGACAGGTGAGGTTAACCCTCTTCAGGAGACTGGGGAAAAGAAGGTCCAGGCTACAGAGTTGAAGCGATCATCAGGCCTTTATTTAAGTACTGAAGTTGAGCTGCAGTAGCAGCACGCATGATCAAGAAAATTCTGCCAGTTTCTCTGGCAGGTCTTTTTTTATAGCCTGTGACAAACATTTGTTCCAAAAACTGTGATTTAGTAGCCACTTTCTCCTGCTGGTTAAACTGACTAATTACACCATCCCTAAGATTAGGAGCAAACCTTCTCCCGTCTGTTACTTAAAGTTCATTAGGCTATTTATAACAATCCACAGTCGGCTCCTTTGTTTTTGGTCAAAATATACATAGCCTGTTGATATGTAAACCAAAATAGGTTCTGAAGCCGATGAGCACAGCTAAATTTAACCAAATGCAAGGTTCACATTCAATAAATTAAAGTGTGTACTTTTTAATACACCCAATCTTATAGTGTAGAAAAGGTAAGATGTTCACATAGTGCAACATTTGGAATCTGACACTCATGTTCAGAATACAGACTGGTCATGGCCTCACCAATGTGAGTTAGCAAAGTAAATGTAAATTTAAAAATAATGTAAGTTCAAAAGTCCCCTTTCATTATAAAAATTGAATCAATCATCATGCATTTGTAATACTGCCCTCTAGTGTGATTGGAAATGCTAGATCAGACTAGCGTGTGGTATAATTTGGGGAGCTTTCTTGAAGCTCTGTTATTGCTTATAATGTTATACATAAATTATCATACCACATACTAAGTTTTTGTATGTACTGTATAACAAAAATAAGGGGACTCAAAATACAGGGTAAGAAATGGGACAAAACCTTTATCCCTTGACAAACCAGAATAAGGACAAACCTTTGTTCTTTGAATGTTTACTTTTCTTAACACTGAGAATATCTTTGTTATTACGGAATATTAAGGTCCTTTTATTTTCAAAATAATTATTTTATTGAAATGATACGGTAAATCTTAATAATTAATTTCAAATGTAAGTGCTTTCTACAAGAATTTTTGTTTTGGTTTTGTTGTTTACTTTAATGGTTATATTTGGAGCTTACTGTCAAGAGCCTGAGTTTTTCTTGTGAAAGAAAAGTGTGTAGACATTTATTCATACATCTTATTAAGTGTTACTTTTAAAGAGCCTTATACACACGGGCACTTTAATATGTAGATTTAGATCCTAGTCAGATCTACTATTCCCTGATAATTTGTAGTCAGATTAAGATGAGTATGAGGTTGCTGAACATAGTCTTACAAATAACATAACAAACAATTATGTGTAAAATCTGCTTTAACACATTTCTTGTGTTTCATTTATGTTGTTTTAGAAATGGAGCCTTTCTCTGTAGGGACGACAGCTTAGCAGAATTTCATTCTAATGTCTGTGTTTGACTGTGCAAGTCAGAAATTAAATTTATTTTAAAACTAATGCAAACATGTAGGAAATTAGAATCTCAATGCAGCTAAATTTCCCACATACCTTTAAAAATATTCTCCTTGAATATGATTAACCTAATTCTCTTGTGTCATACTAAGATGTGATGTGAATATACAGAAAGCATTCTTCAGAGGCAGAACTGTGAGCAAAATTAATGACAGAAAAGATGTTGATTGTGACTGTTGCCACTAAGCACATTGTAGGCACTATGCCTAAGGCTCTTAGACGTTAGTCAAGAATATGGACGTGCTTCAGAATTTTGTTCCATTTTACTTTAATATATAATTGATTTTAATTTGTTTCCATTAATTTCTATGAAACTTGAAATCTCTGCTGCATAAGTACGATCTTTAGCCTATTTTAATGCTGTGCGAATTCACTGTTTACCGCTATCCCAGTTGAATCAGGCTTTTTAAACACAGAAGAAATTTACAAACATATTTGGGAGTGTTTCTTTGTGAAAAATTTCCAGTCATGTTACAAATCATAAAAGGGTACAATCCTCAGAAAGCTTTTTTGTTTAATGGAGTCCTATCTTTAGAAAAATAAAGACATTTCAATCTCTTCAGAAGAATAGTGCTAGTTATTTTCTCATTCTGATTGTCAGGCATTGTGTTGAATTATGTTATGGTGACTGTAACATGTTAGCTTACACTAAGATTTAGACAGGCTAATGTGTTACAACAGTTTCCACTGAAGCTTTCTGTGTTGATGCTTCTGACAAGATAAGTTATGTTTCAGGCTAGGTCTAAAACTTTGCAGAATTACGTTGTCTGTAAACACCTACAGTATATCCTCTTTGCTGATTGAATCCTTAGGGGTCTGGTATACAATTCAACTGCACACAGAAAAATGGATTTTAGCTGTCACTTAACCTGGCTATTTAAGCCATATTTTTCAGTGCACTATAATAAAAGCAAAATAATTTGCGGCATTTATCATATTTCTGGTCACCTTTCCAGTTCTCAGTATGCATGTGTTAAGTGTTCAAAATAACTGCCAACTGCATTCTGATCACCCTGGGCTTATGAAGTGTTAAAAATCATTTTCATACACAAACATCTGTCCTTTCAAGAAAAAATAAATGCTGGCTACATAATTTAAGTAGCTTGCATACCAAGTTGCATCTGAGTTTCAAGAAAGTTAAGTTATACTACAACCTTTATATAGTTGCCCCTATTTCCATGCAATAGCATGCAATTAACTAAGCAGACTGTTTCACTGAAGATGTTAAAAACATTTTTGTCCAAGTTGATTAATTAGGCAAATAAAGGAAAATTCAAAACATAGAACCATGTATTTCCTACATTTATTTCGTTTCATGCATATCCTGGCACAAGGCAGGATACACCTTTTACACTGTACCTGCATATTCATTATTCACTCAAAATAATGGCATCAGACTCACTACAAGTTATAATGACGCCTAAAAAATATATTTTAAATGGATTTGTGAGAAAACGTTAGGTTCAAAATGTTTCAAATAAAAAAAATCTGCTTTATTTTCAAAACTGGCTGCTGCCAATAAGGTTTTTGGG